AACTGGTACAAAGGGGCGTGTCTGTACTCACATGACCAATGGGCGTTTCATATCCGTCAGCAGTGGCGTAAATCGAGTCGACAGAGGAATTCATACCATGATTTACATGCCCATTCTCTGTTGATATCGTTCGCGGTTTACGCATTGCATAGGCATCGATCTCCTGAAATGCATGCTCCGCCTTTTTTGCAAAATGCGGCACGTCACAGAAAGTTACCTGTGCCCTTTGCCAACTGCTTTCTTTCGTGTCCTGGCGTCTTCTTACAAATTTCGCCAAAGCAAAGACAGCAAGAACTGCGATGGCAAGAATGCCTACGCAGATAATGGATGCCAGTACTCCGGGAGTTTGGAAAACAGCCAAGTGGGCGGGGCCTATGTCACACTGTGAGCTGACATCGCCAGTTACAGTTCGAGTGAAGTACTGTAAGGAGAGATTTGGACGACTTTTCATGATATTCTGAATTGCAAGTGCTACTTCATTTGGTGCAGACTCCTCCATGCTCAATGTCTGTAAATATCCGTTAACTACGAACTGACGTAAGCACCCAGCAAATTGCCTGGAAGAAGACAACTTGTACAACGACTGGACGAGTTTTCCATGTCAGCTTACCCTCGCAATCCATTTATACCTAGTTGAATACGTTTTAAGTCAGCAGAAATGATGCTTGGCAGAATCATTCGTGATATAGCTTCTTTGCCAATACCATCGACTTTGAAAGTGATCTGCAATCGTGCGTGAAATGTGTTGTTTTATGCTTTTGGTTGAAGTTATCCTTACCGTTTTTCTATCTTCACTCAGTTCAAGCGCGACTTGGTGCCAATTGCCATCGTCCACTGTTTGGCTATCGAGCGTGATTTCTATCGGTGTTCTATAGCTGTCAAAAACGCGATATCGAACTTTAGATGAGTGGACCTAAAACAACAATATCAAAAGGATACGAAAGTAAATTTATGAAACATAAAAACAATTTTAGTTTTCATAGGCCTCATGCTATCTAACGTCAAA